TTGGCTACTGAAAAAAACAGCTTGTTTCCATAAGCTCAGGAAAGGTGCACAATCTGTTTGCAGCTCTGTCCCGGCACTCAGAATAAAGGAATACAGTTACTAGCCCCAACTGAAATTACACACTCACAGGCTCCACAATTTAAATTCCTATAGCGTAAGGAGGACGCAACCACAAAAATGTACAGAAAAATGTATTTTGACCAGTAGTTTATGCACTTCATATTTTATTCACTGAATTTTCAATTTCAGATGTTTCACCTGAATTTGCCTATACATCTTTAAAGAGAGAGTTTCAGAACATTTCTCTTTAGAAATATCAAGAGGAAAAAAAACCTTATTTCTTATATTTAATATGAAGAAACGGAAGTGTTATTTGTTAATTTTTTCAAAATTGTCAGAAAATATGTGGGGGAGTTTCATTCTATTTCTCTGTAGAACAAAATCCTGAGTAGGTGACATGATTGCAGAGGAGGATGTTTAACACAAGCTTTCAGAGCCTTCATGTTTCAATCACCTCCTCACGTCCTCACTGCTATAACAATTTTTTTTTTAATTCTAAAATCTAAAGCTAGATCCAAAAGAGGGTAACCCAAACTCACGTCTCCTGGTGTACTGAGGCCTCTTCAAAGGATTTGACACAGCTGGTACGACCTGAACATCGCTCAGGTTATTTCAAATATCCTTGGCAGAGGGCCCTGTAACATGTTTAGCTGGAACACTTAAACAAAACTACATTATCATTCCCCTTAAAACACACCTACTCACAAAGACACAGAACAAGGTTCAAAACGTGCTTTTTTGTTTCCCTCCGGACAAAATATCAAAAAACATATGTAAGTATGACAAGAAAGTTTATCTCTGAGCAAGAAAAGCTCTGCTTTCTAACACTGAATTTGCAATAGCCTCCTGGATGGCTTGGGGCAGACACTTCCTCAATTTAATATTGCAAGGCTGGAATAGCACTTCACTTGCTTCACAAGGGTATGAAAAGAATTAAATTGACTGTGTTTGCAGAATCACTTTGAAGATGAAAATTGCTATTTTAAGCCTAAGTGCCATTTTCTTATAAATATGCAAAAACTGAACACCTGCATAAAACCAAAACAAGATTATCCCCTGCCTGTGCATACATGTGAACAAGACTTGAAAGTACCATTCCCTCATCTCCTTCATCTCCCCGTTTCTGAAGAAGACAGCAGGTGCCTATCAGTCCTTATGTCCTCAGCTCCTGCTTGGCACTTACTGATCCAGTGGCACACATTTTCACATCTTGCAAGATGTGCTTACTGTGTTTGTTACACAAATAAACAAAAATGCATTACTTATGAAGGAATATTGACAGAAATCAAAGTTGCAAGCTACAAGGCTTTCTGGGCATAATGGCTTTGAAGTCCCCTAATGAAAGCTCCCTACTGTTTCAGAGTACTGTTTCAATTCAGAGTGATTTCATGTATTTCATAAACATATCACAGACAAAATGAGGAAAAGAAGTACCCCTACCTAAATTTCTTTGTCCATACTCTTTCATTCCTAGTTTCAATATAAGGCAAAAGGACCTAGAGCTTTGAGCATACCTTATGAAACCTGAAAAAGTGCTTTACATGACCCTTTTCTCTTTTACATCATCCCTTTTCATGGCAGCCTTTTATTTCCCTTCACTCATACTCATTTCTGTCTGTAAATAATAACACAGCTCTACAAAGTTGACCTGTTTCCTCCTCTCAATAATACATAAGGCCACAGAAATTACCTCAGCAAATACTAATTACCCAGTAACAAGATTTCCCTCCTCCATCTATTGTTTTAGTCTCACCTGAAAAGAGGCAATGACTAAGATATAATTATACAAGACCTACAGTATTCAGGTAAATTTAAATGCTATCATTTCTCAGTTTTACAAGGCTCCTGCTTTGGAAGAATACGTACAGTAGGAAATCCGGGAACAAGGAACAGTTTGCCAGACTATCTAAAGGTCAAAAATATTACTATATAGAAGTAAATCATTTCATTTGAATCTTGGGCCCAATAAACACCAGTTTAGAACCTTAGATAAAATTTAATTACAATAAAAGCCATTTCCTAAAATAGAGTATTCTTGTTATTTTGAATTAGAACTGGCTATAAAAATCATTTAAAGAACTTATTAGCTCTACATGACATGTCACAAAATAACTGTCTCAGACTGTCTTATTACATGTGACTAATGGTCTTGTTTGTGCTTTCAGCTGTGATTTTTTACTTTAGAAACAGTTGAAAACCTTTTTTTTTTCTGAGCCTCAGGCTCCTTTATTCTGTCATCATTCACTAACCATGAATATCTCTAATATGAAGTGATAAACGTAGTTATCTATTTTATAAGATATTCTACATTCAACACCTTATAGCTTTGACCTAGTACATGCCCTTCCTTGCCTCCATCTCCCACATTTATCTCCATAATGCTTCCTAAAGGCCAAAACAGCATATTAGCAAATCCTACCTTATCCATATTTATTCGTAACAAAGGAAAGAGGAGCTGTCTCTAGTAGTGAAAAGCACGTCTCTGTTTGTCACTAGCTTCTAAAAATGAACCGTTTCAAAGAAGGCCGGACTCTTCTTGGTGGTGGTATTTGACCAACAAGAGGCAAGATCCAAAACGTGCAACTTGAGGAGTTGAGATCGGAGTTTAGGAAAAACTCTTGGACCAGGACAGTTATACAGCACTGGAACAGGTTACTCAAGGGAGTTATGGAATCGTTAGAGGATTTCCAGACTCACCTACATAAAGTCTTCACTGTTGACAACAGTCCTGCTTTCAGAGGGAGGTAGACTACAACATTTTGTATGATTCAATAGCACCATTTCTGTAATTCAACACCATCTATTTAACAGCTGCTAAAATCAAAACAGAGCCAGCAGCTCCAGTGGTTGTTTGAAGAGATGGGAGCCGCCTCACTAGTAAACTTTCGTAGAAAACCAAGGGAGACTAAGAGGGAAGAACAATTAGCAGTGTTTGACTTTTCTCTTTTAGGATGGTATTTACTTTATTTTAGCTGTGTTATTTTAGCTTTCCACATTCTCTGTTTCTGGCTGAAGATTCTTCTTCTGCAGCTCCTCATCTCTATATCAGTCCTTTTGTATGCCTTTGTCTCACCAACTTTTCAACGGTTTTAAAACACTTTAAATGGATACCATTCCTCCCCCGTGTAAATGTCAAAAGGTGAAGGGAATGCACAACGAGTGTTTTTGAGCTTGCACGGTTTTCTGCTGTAGCATTTACAAAAAAAATGAAGACTCAAATCCAGCCCTTGTAAACACATCAGAAGGGAAATTTCTTCAGCTCCCTGCCGAATAAAGGTCCCAAACAATGAATTTTCACCTTTCCAGATCATCATTCACCTTACTCAATGCTGAGTAGCTGTCATTACTATAAAACAACTTAAACCACATTTTAAAATACATTAAAATAAATTTACTAGTATTTGCCTTAAGGTAACAAATTAGTATTATAATGCTGTAACGCCCTGCTTTCAAGCTCAAAATTTTCAATACTGATTTGAAGTATTTCTTGTTGGGCATAAAACATGATCTAATTGAATGTATCGTAATCTCATTAGTATTGGATTACAAAGGTTTCCCAGTATGGCAGCACACTCTGAATGATATTTTACCAAGTGAACGACAGGGCTAGAAGTGACGCAACCGTGTGTTTTTTTTTTTTTTTTCTGTTTTCCAACAGCTAACGGTACGTTTTGTTTCACCGTTAACAAGGAGGTGACTGAGCAGCAAAAGGGAAGGCTGCTGCTTTCCCCGCCGTCCTCTCTGCTGTATTCTGGTGCAAGAGAAGCTTTTTGGAGGGAGGAAGAGCACAGGACCATGTCAACATAAGGGAGGTTCTGGATTGCAGGACAGTGCCGAGAGAAGCCCCAGCAGGAACAGAGCCTGCAGTGCAGTTTGGAAGACTCCTCAGCAGAACAGGAGCGGGAGGCTTCCCGGTAACAAGGGAAGGACCCAAAGGAAGTCTCAGAGAGGAGCGATGAGAGGAATTACTGGGCTATCCTAAGGACCCACCGCACCGTAGATTGTGGATCTGGTGCAATCTGGAGGCCCTTAATAAATCTGGAAGAAAAGATAAACTGTGAAGGGGCAGGTATGGAACCAGAGGATGTCTGCCTCCTAGCACCTCCATTTCATCTCACCAGATTTGACTGCTATTTAAAAAGCTAAAAAAAAAAAGTAAATTGGCTTTTAAAAAGTTTTAAAACTTTAAATGTGTATTATCTAGTATTCTGCTGAAACAATCACTTCTTCCTCTCCCTTCTTCCTTCCCTCGTCCTCTTCATCACCTAAAATTCAGTCTCCCTGGTAGAGACTTTGATTCCAGCACTTTTTTTTTAACTCAAGACTGAACATCTTGCTTACATTCCGTAATAGGCATTTCTATAATAATGACTCAGAAATAAAAATGGGTCATCATTCTAATCAAATGGCTTATCTCCTTTAACACTGCATTTGAAATGGCCCTAGCTCATTACGTCCTGCTGCAGTCTAGTTTCAGAATATGCCACAAATGAAGACTATAAAACGCTCTTGATCTTCTTTCAAAAGTCTCTGAAGGCACAGTCTGAGTACAGCTGCATGCACATGCTTCTTTACCCCAACTGACACTTGAGACTGGTCTGAATAAACACATTAACTTTGTGTTAACTATATATTTCTGTACATCTTGTTGAGATCTGTTCTTGCCTACCGACTTGGGGATTATAGAGAAGTGGACAAAATAAAGGTATGGTGTCTCATACATGTCGACTAATTAGCAGATGTAAGGAGATCAAGCCTTATTATCAAATTCAGTTACACATATATTGGTACTTTGCCTTCTCCATTGCAATCTAAGCAAGGTGCTGCCTAATTAACTGAACTTCATGTTAAACCTACCACTACTACCTGCAGATTCAGGATAGAAGTCTGCAAACATTTCCCATTAACCCTGTTTCACAAACATATTTTAAAATACTCACCAGTCTGCCACCAGTGGTCTAAGACAGGCACCTTGAAGACTTTTTTTGACCATTCTAGTGTATCCACATCACAGTGCTCGCCAGCTACAAATAACGTTCTGAACCTTTAAATGAAAACAGAAAAGTATACATCTTGATCTGAATCAGGAAAGGAAAACATCATGGAAAAATAAATTCAGTAAACATTTGTGCTCTGCGTCCCAGATGAGATAGAAAAGGGGCAGAAGGACTCTTACTCCTGGTACTTACCCATCCTACTGAGTAGCAGGTAAAATCTTAGCAATCCTGATTGACTGAGGCTTCTTGATACATCATGTAATAGAAGCTTTCTTTTGCCAGCAGAAATAAAGAATAGTTAAATAGCTTGTACAAAAGAACAGGAACAACAGTTAAGCAAAGCATTAGTATCAAATACCAAAGAAGGCCTCAGAAGGAGATATCAGAGAAAAAAAAACAAGATCAAAAAAGAAATAAACAAATCAGAAGACTTTTTTATGGAAATGCCTGTAGTATAACTAGCTAAGAAGCTGTCAATAACGCTCCCTTAAACTGATGTTAGTATTTTTTCAAATCATTAGTTATCTTTTTATAGACATTTGGAAATTTGTAGATAACCAATGGGGACTAAAGTTTTTTTTCCTAAGTAGAACCAGGCAATACAAGCACATACACAAATATATATATATATGTATATATATATATACACATACTCACACACACATATATACACACACACATACATATTTGTGTGTGTATATACACATATATAGCAAAACCCAATGCACAGTGTGCAATCTACAGAGAAAATGAAGCAAAAGCATGCATACAGCAGCTGAAATTATTCAGGATATTTCATATTCTGAGAGATTTCTTGTAATCCTATTAGGTAACGTTGATAACAGAACAACATTAAGCAACTATGGGTCCCTGATGACACCATTAGAATTCAGCTCATTTGACCAGATAATCTGCAGTCGATTTTGGCAGAAAAAGATGCACCTTCTGGCAATACTGACAGATGTGATCTGGATTTTTGTGCTATTAAATTGCATAGTGCTCTTATAACTGGGTATTAAACCCACACACAGTCTTTAACATCATCAACATACATTAGATGTTTGTCACACTTTATCACCCTTCATTAAGCACTGCAAATTCACTTTACAGCCTGTTTAGGATGATAAGGTCCTTTATGTCAACTGCAGCATTCTTATGTATTATCTAAATTATTTATTATCTAAATAGTATTTAGAATCCAGACCTTATTTTACATTACTGCATACTGCTAAGGTTCTGATCTTCCTCACACTCATGCAGTACCTTTGTTCATATCTGCAGTATATTTTTTGCACTTCCAATTTTCTAAGGAGCAACTTAAACCCTGTTATACTGTAGATAAATTAATGGATACTCATGACACAGGTCCGACATCCTCGCCAAACAAGAAGGTACTCAGGAAAAGAACCATTTACCATCTTGCCCACACGCCTCCAATAAAGAAATAAAAAATCCTTTTCAAGTAGAAACTGAGAACTTTGACTCACTAAGCACAGATAAAAATAAATGACCAACTGTGCGCAGATGCACCACTGGATTGATATTCAATACTGTGTCATTACCTTCGGGATCTGTGTTACGATAGCATCGTTTCTATGGGCAGCAAGGCACGGTATTCATCTCCCTATTTCCAGAAAAAAATATCTACTTTGAATGTGTTCTTTAGGCTTCTATAATGCCCAAAGACCAAGAGGCAACTTGAGAGTAATTTACCTTTAAGACTCCAAATAGGCTCATTTTTATAGTATGTAAAGGCAGCAAAACAAAACAAAATCCAAGATCCTACAGCAACAACAAACAACACAACCAAGCTACAATACTTAGAACTTATTGTTCTAAGCTATTGTTATTGAAGTTATTGTTTAAAAAGATAGTTATAGACAGGGTGATGAACTTACTGTGATACAATTTGGAAGGGACAATCTTGCATGGCAGAAAAAGAAAATCAAGAATAAAAGTTTGAGACATTCTTACTTTCTAAACATATACATGTGTTTCTATTTAAGTAAGATTTTAAAGCAGAAAATCATCACTGGGAAAACAAAATTTAATAATAAGGGTAAATTAAGACATAAAATCTATTTTTGATTTTCATAGATAAGAACCTCTACTTTTAATAAAATCACAGTGGAAAACTGCGCCTTGTTCCTGGAAAGACTGGCAGAGAAATCTGAAACACATGACAACAAGTCACATCAATGCCTATTTTTAACCAAGGGGGGCTACCCTGTCACCAAGAATAATTTGAATTCTGAATGCATAGTTAACATGCACATATGCCCTATCACTCCAGACCAGAGAACCTGCCTCCCTTGTGCAGCATCCCGAGGCTGTGCCCAGGCCTTCCTCTGCCAACCCCTCCCTACGCAGCATATGACACCCAGAAGACAGCACTGTAATTCTACCCTGGGAGGCAATTTGAAACCTCAAAGGACTGAGAGTAAAGGGAAGGTGATAAGGAAACACATAGTCAGGCTCCATGTCTGAAAGACTGTTTACCAGTAGACAGTCTCGTTTCTTTCTTCTTTGAGTGACAATCCACAGAGACACTGTCAACCAAGTACTGCATCAACCCTCAAGGCTTCTTTGATGACAGAATGTCCAAATAAGGAATGGAGTTGCAAGTCACCCAGCAACACACCCTGGGATTAAAAATATTGCTCCAAAATATCTCCCTGTTACAACCACAGCATGCTCTACCACAGCCAGGTCACCTCAGCAACATTACGTTGCACTGCAAGTCTTGACACAGCCCAGTAAGTCTGAAGGCAACTGTACTGGACCTGTCCTTCAGCAGGGACAGGAACTGTGTTGACTTCTAAAAAGCACTATACTTCTGGCTACAAAAAGCGTTCTTAGATGCTTAGGGCATGAAAGAGACATGGCATTTGGGAAATTATGATAGAAGACAGAGTGGTTAATCCACTGGCGCCAGAAGTTAGTGGAGGAAATGCAAGAGCATCACATTCAGCTACAAACTTCTGTGACTAAGTGGAAGCCTACAGGTCATCCTCTCCATGTCGAAGGCTGATCAGTTGGAGATTACTGACCTCTCACAGTAACACTGTCCAAGCCGAAAAATATATATTGAATATTTCCACCCTGCTCTTCGCTGGATGTCTGTCAGTTCCTGCTATCAAACAAGGCAGCCTCTGACAGTCTGAGGACCACTGACTACTAACTACATAAGGGCAAGGCCAGAGAGAATGCACAGTAAAGTTACATTTCAAGGCAAATTAGTAAAATATAGAATAAATTATCATGAAGTACAGTAAGCCATGTGCCCTAACACTGAAAAGCAGCTTTTTCTTACTGCAGTGCTTGGCCTAGTGATCAAAAAATTGATGAGAGATCCTGAAGATTCCTTTATTGATCTAGAGTTAAAGGCAAAAAAGCATTCACAAGGAATGGAAGCACATGGAAACTCTAACTAGTAAGGCAGAAAACCTGTCCTGCCTAAACATTATAACCTGAGAATGGTCTTATCTATGAAGCAGAAATAATGATGATAGAGGTTGCCATCATAATATCTTTGCCATAAATGTACTACAGATCTGAAGTTATACACCAGTTCACTTACAAAAGATCTTGGGAAATGTTACCATGTTGAATCTGACATGCAAATAAAAACTTCACTATCTTGGAAAACTGAACTCTGAAAAGGTAAAAATAATTTTACCTCTGAAAAGTAAAAATAATTTCTGGAAGAATCACTAAGCACGGGCTCCTAAAGCCCCTAGGAGTCTTGACACAATGCAAGAAGCTCAGTATTGCATGTACATGTCAGCTCAAGTACAAAACAAACCACACCTCCAAACCATTGCCCAAAAGCAGGGTGTTCACATAGGTAATAAACTGAGCAACACTTTTTTTGGATTAAACAAACATAAAACTATTTTGAATTCTGGAATGCACATGCCAGCTTTTCCTGATCAAGAAAAGCTGTGTCTGCATCATGCTAGTTTCCTGAAGAACAATTAGGAAAGTTCACTTGTACTTCTTAATATAAACTGAAGATAAAGAATTCTTATTAATTCTTAATGCAGCTAGAGACTGTGGATATTAAAACTTGTAAAAATAGTCTTTAAAAAAATCTTAATTGTTTTAAATAATTTTCTTCTGTTGGTTTATTTGCTTGTTTTCCTCCCTGAATTAATTTTACCTTAGTCGAGAGGATCCAAGCATTGGAGGGCTGTGTGACAGAGTCAAGAGAGAATGAGAACACACCAGCAGTGACAGATCACTTGCACCTTGTGGGTAAAAGGGGGCTCCATACAGGATCTCTGCTCAGGAGTCCAGCAGGAAGGGCCAGAAACGATCTACAGCAGTATAGAGCAGAAAGCAACTGCAAAAAATGTACTTCAGTCTTCCCAAATTGTGACTCTCAGTCACATTCTCTAGCAGCATGTGCAAGACAGATTATAAATTATGTGACAAAGTATTTCTTTCCAGCAGTTTTGAATTTGCTACTTCGATTTTATGTCCTCCTATTCCTGGGTTATGGAATAGAAAACAGAAGTTTCTAATCCACTTCATACTCATTATTTCTGCATATATTTAATGTAGTCTCATATTTCTTTCTGGAGTAAGTGCATTGATATGTATTACACGTATACACTACGCAATGCTACCCGTGCACTATAGGGACGGACTGTGCTGCAGTCCTAAGCTACTGGATAGATCTTAGGCTGTGAAAAGCACAGTAATTTTACACAGATACATAAATTGCTCTCTTTTAAAATTGCACTTCAAATCAATTATTCTAAGGCTTCATAACCCTTAACATAGTTTGCAACAGCAGCTTCCAATCAATATGAATAAGCTGTAACAAGAACTGCAGCACGCTATGAACAACTGGGAGACAGTGTCTGCACCAGGTCAGTGTGATTTTCACCTTCTCCTTGAGATTGTAGTGTTTTTTCTGGATGCTTCTCTCCTGAAAGCATTGCATTTGAGACATTGCAGAAATACCTGATCAGGAAAAGCTGTGTGACTAAACTGCTAACTTAAAAATGGCAAAGAATCTATACAGCCAACTCTTATGCGACAAGAACTAGTAAGTATTACTTGTATCTGAATTTAACCTGTTGTGGCCCAATTTCATTTCCAACTGCCAGTTGTCAATCATTTAGAAAAGCAGACCCTAACCAAATCATAAAAAAATAAGTCAATTAAATGATGAAGTGGGATTCTAAATATGAGAAGATTGTTGAGGAATGTAAGACTTACCTCACCGCATAAGAGTCAGTTACAGTCAGTACACAGGGAACAGTCACTGTCCTTTTTTTTTTTAACCCACAGATGAAAAAGATTATATATTTTACCTAAAACTGACTCAAGCCAATCCAAGAACTGCTCAAGATTGAATCACAGAATGGTTGAGGTTGGAAGGGGATCATCTAGTCACACCCTCCTGTTCCAGCAGGGACACCCAGAGCACATGGCACAGGGTGGCATCCAGGAGCGTCTGGAAGATCTCCAGAGAAGGAGACTCCACAGCCTCTCTGGGCAGCCTGTTCTAGGGCTCTGGCACCCTCACAGGAAAAAAAGTTACAACAAATGTTCAAGTCCCTTAATCATCTTCGTGGCCCTCCACTGGCCCCTCTCTAGAAGCTCCACGTCCCTCTTGTACTGTGGAGCCCAGAACTGCACCCAACACTCCAGGTGCGGCCTCACCAGAGCTGAGCAGAGGGGCAGGATCCCCTCCCTCCACCTGCTGGCAACGCTCCTCCTGATGCAGGCCAGGATCCCATTGGACTTCTTGGCCATTAGGGCACGTTGCTGACACATGGTTAACCAGTTGTCAACCAGGACTCCCAAATCCCTCTCCACGGAGCTGCTTTCCAGCAAGTCAACCCCTTATCTGTACTGGTGCCTGGGGTTATTCCTCCCCAGGTGCAGGACCCTGCACTTGTTCTTGTTGAACCTCCTTTCTGCCCTACTTTCCAACCTGTCTAGGTTCCTCTGCATGGCAGCACAGCCCTCCAGAGTGTTGGACACTCCTTCCAGTTTGGTATTGACCTCAAACTTGCTGAGGTTGCACTCTGTGCCCTCGTTCAAGCCATTGATGAACTAGTTGACCAGCACCGGGCCCAGTACTGACCCTTGTGGGACACCACTGGCCACAGGCCTCCAACTAGACTCAGCCCCATTTATGACCACTCTCTAGGGGTGGTCATAAATGGGGTCGAATTCTGCACTATGCAGAATTTTGCACTAGATGTAGTCAGGAGATGTCAGGTACCAGGGAATGATTTAAGAGGCAAACATATTTATACATGGAGAAGCTCTTTAACTAGGCACTAAATGGGAATAATGAAATACCTTTCGATGCCTGCAGAATCTTCAGTTAGAGGATTGTTACTTAGCTGGAATTATAATTTGGCCAGAAAATGAGGTAACTTACAGAACAGGTACCGTTGGTTAGCAAATTTTTCAGTAAATGAATACTCCTTACTATGGACTAAGTCATTTTAGTAATTGCCCACAAAATACTGGGCAAAAAACGTTACATTTTCTAGCATCTGATACACCAAAGAATCACTTCCTTGTCACTAAACATCACAGAAAAGTAGTGCTTTACAGTCTCAAAAGGGCTTGTCTCCCATTTTCAAGGAGGAGAAACTATTGAAAATAGCACTCAAAACAGATGAAAGAAAATAATGAAGAACTTGCATTCCTGTCTCAGGAATACATCATGCTTATTGATGAACAAAACTTTCCTGAGCAAATAAGAAAGTTGTGACCGATTTAAGCTACATGGCTTTGCATCTTCCCTCTGTCTTTAAACAACAGTGATAAAAAACGATCTCATGACTGAATACTGCCTACAAACTGATACAGTCCTTTCTTCTTGTTGAGCAAATTATTCAAGTCCAAAATCCCAGAGATGGTTCAAAACCATGTCTTTTTTTTCATTTTCTGAGTGTCTGCCACGATATTCTGAAGATTGATTGGTAGAAATCACAAAACACTCACAGATGCAGCTGAAGTCCGCGGGAGATCCATTTTGACCATATAAAGTGCTATACAACTCTAAGAACTCTGAAATACTGATGTATAAGTGGCTCAGAGTGGGCGTTCAAAATTAATAGAAGACTTTGACCTTAATCTCTCTGTGTCTCGGCTTTCCAGCTCTAAAATACGGATAATACCACTCTCTCATCTCTCAGAGGATTTGGGAGGATGAACTCAGTGATGTTTTTGAAGCATGCAGATAGTATAGTGATAAAGTCCTCAAAAACAGTACAAGATAGCAAATGGTTTTGTATTCAGACCACACTTTGAATAAACCCTGAGCAGTAACTAAGTTATGGGGTCAGAAACTGAACAACAGAGATGAACAAAACATTGACTAGCTGCTGATTAAACAAGCATAGAAGATCCTGTGCACTCAGTGAAATGAGAGGTCACATGGAAAAACAGCACAAAATCATATAATCCAAACTATACTCTAGGGTTTAAGCACGGTGGAGTAAAATTAAGGTCGAACAAGCAATCTTAACCCACTAAGAATTCCTAACTTTAGGGTCATAATCTTCTTACACTTGCACCTCCTCCAAACTATCAATGTTAAGGTCACAAACAAACACAAATGCACCTCAGTAGTCAAGAATTTGCTTGTATTCTGCTATACAGCGGTGGGCTTAGCCCCAGACACTTGGCTATTCTTAGTTCATCCAGCCTGTTTCTGTAAGGACTAGTCCCAGTGTATCCTCAGTTCACCTTGTCAGAGAGTACTGCTTTCCCAAAGCTGCCTCCGGGTCCTGCTGACGGATTGCTCTAATTGCGGTCGGTGAAGTAAAGGCGGCAGCTACTTCATGCTCTGCTAGCACACGGAAATAGGCACCAGCATCTGGCGTTCCCACAGGCTTCCCCTACGGAGAGAGTAATTTAAAATGTCACAGGATAAAAATACTTCATAATTCCTTGACAGTTCAAGACATGAACACGTAACAGCAGCAGAAGCACAGCAACAGAAGTAATTTCAAGTAAGACTTAAGAGAAGCTTTTGTTACCTTGAGTGTATTCACTTGTTATAGAAATAAATTCACAGGCTTTGGGCGCAAACTCTCACATGAACACAGCACAGACTAACTGCTACTGGAAAGAACAGGATAAACGACGAGGTATATGAAAAGAGAGCCCCAAAGAGCTGCTGCTGCACTGGCAGCAAAGGAGGCTATATGTACTTTTACCTTGAAACACTGTAAAGCAGAGTCCTACTGAATTAGGATCTTCGTGATGCAGTGGCACTTTAGCTACCTACCTTGTGCACAGGCCTAGGATACTGCCAGCTCTTTGTAACCTAGAGATTTCACAGAAGCACACAGAATGGTTGAGGTTGGAAGGGACCTCTAGAGATGATCTAGTCCAACCCCCTGCTCCAGCAGGGACACCTAGAACACGTGGCACAGGGTGGCATCCAGGACCGTTTGGAAGATCTCCAGAGAAGGAGACTCCACAGCCTCTCTGGGCAGCCTGTTCCAGGGCTCTGGCACCCTCACAGGAAAGAAGTTCTTCCTCACTTGGAGATGGAACTTCCTGTGTTTCAGCTTGCACCCATTACCCCTTGTCCTATCACTGGCCACCACCGAGAAGAGTTTGGCCCCATCCTCCCTACATCCACCTCTCAGGTATTTATACATTTTGATCAGATCTCCTCTCAATCTTCTCTTCTCTAGGCTAAACAGGCCCAGCTCGCTTAGTCTTTCCTCCCAGTTCTGGAAAGAATCCCAGTTATCTGCTTACAACAGGCTTTGTGGCACCCCTGTGCCACAACAGCACATAAAGACGAGAGAGAAGCCAAAACGCTCTTCTGTTTTACAGTGCTACCATTCCACTATTTCTTTAAAAACTAAACACTGCCTTGAGCTACAGGGAATATTCAAGGAGACTGTAAACAGAAGTAATTAGATGTGACACATCATCCAAAGGTAAGTAATAATAATAAAAAATAATCAAAAATAATCTTCTGCTGTGCTGCAAACATGAAAAGCAGGTGGCACAAGATCATATAATCACACTCTCATTGTATGTAATTACTGCAGTGAACAAACTGCTCCACATACGTTTATTTTTAAGTGATGCTGAGATGTTAAAGCAGAAGAGCTTTTGCTCTGCAGGTGTTTCATAACCTTTTCGTTAGAAAGGCCACAGTAGGAAGATGAACTTTGGCAGAGCCTGCAGCCAAATGAGGAGAGACAGATGCTCTTCAAAGCACAAACACAACTTGTCAGTGCTTTATTCAAGAAGCCACAAATACAGAGAAAGTTTCACTACTGCAATTGTCAACATCTTCATAGCACTACACCAGTCACAAAACACTTTTGTATCTCTACCATCCTTTTGTAAATGCAAATTTGGAGCATGTCTTTCCTAAGAAGCCTCATTCACATTCATGCCTTTCATTGTATTCAAAAGAATTGTAGACACAACTTACAATTCATAACTAGCAATCTTTATGTGTGCTGATAACTTTCAATAAACCGTAAGTACTTTTTCCTCTAACACAGGACAAGAACTGCAATAAAACAAACAATACAATAGATAGGTTTAGTGGGGAAAAAAGTATATAAACCTGTGCAATTCTTTTCCATTGCCAAGATGCAAAAGGAAGAGGGGCATTAGAATAACTTGACAAATTTGCTAAATCCAATATTTTCATAGCAACAATAAGGCGGTAGCAAAACAGTGTTACGAAAACACAGTAATCAGGTTTGTTGCCCATCTTCAACAGCTAGCAAACAAGTCCTGTCCTCAGGCAAGAAAGATTATATATAGAGCAGATTCACATAATAGATGATAAATAACACTGCAAATTCATATACGCAAACTGCATTGGACAGGTACTATTTTATTGCTTTTCTACTACCAGATTCACTACACTGTGATCTGAAGGCAAGAATTTTGCTTTAAGGCAAATAAGGTATTTTTGCAATGAGGTTGCACAGCCGACCACCAGCACAACCCTAACTCACCTCCATCCCCACAACCCGGGCTGCGCACGTGTGCCCATGCAGGCACATATAGACACCAACAAACGCCTATATCCTCCTATATCACTGCCCAAACATAATGCACATTCTTTGCTGCATATGGAAGTATTTAGCAAAGGGACCTAGGAGTCAAAAACCAACCATTTGCTGCAGCCAAGGAGAAGGAGGAACGTCTTTCACATGGAGATTAATAAAAAGAGTGGGAAATCAGCTGCTGGCGGGGAACTAAACATTGCAGTCCTCAAAGAGCAGACACCTGAGCCCTGCCAAGGGATTCCCAAAACCTTCAGGCTGCCTCCAGCATTCCCTACAGGAAGCGCAGACTCGGGGCTCCTGCCACAGCCCCGAGCCAGCCGGCGGGAAACCCCCATACGTGGGGAAGGGATGGATGTCTGATGTCTCCATATGGAGCCGAGGCACCTTATTCCACTCAGGATTTAGAGCGTGGCGTACTCCCCAAGAGCAAACACTTGGCAGAAAAGAGGTTTTCTTTGAAAACACAGCCTCCTGGCTTAGACATAGGACTGATGAGGCCTAGCGAGGCCTGAACACACCTATCCCATTTTCAACAAGACAAGGTCCTTCTTCCCTTATGCAATGCAGTTTCCAAAGGAAGCTCTTTCATCAGACTCTGTCTTTAAACTCTCTCTCCCACACTAATTCATCGCAGCTTTTGTGAATTCATCCAAATGTTCCAATCTCAGCCCTTCTTGGAAAAAGCTGCTCTTTCCAGTTTATGTCATCTCTATTTGCTGTTCAATACACCTGCAGATCTGCAACCATCTGGCTGGTAGGTCAGCATCGCATCGCTAGCTTACGCTAAAATAAATGGTCTCAAAATGTGAGAATTTCCAAATTCTCCTAAAATTCTCATTAACCAATTATGTAGCCAAACTACACCATTTGTAATCATTTTGGACAGAAAAAAAAAAAAAGAGGACTGTGGAGCAATCTAAAATCAGTTAACTGCCGATAAGGATGTGGCCTGTAGCTTTTAATCACCTGAAAATTTCCAGCGTAGGCATTTGGCTGCCCATGGATAAGGCCAGAGGTGGGGGCAAAGCCCTACTTGCCCCCTACATACACAAATAAATATCCCCCTACTACACAAATAAAGCAAAAGGTTTAAGGAAAAGAGCAGCAAATCCCACTGATAATTCTTTGGAGATAATTCCCAAGGGATAAGCTTTTCACATAGGAAAAAACAAACAGGCCTATCTGTAAAATATTGTTACTGACCCTGCAGAAAACCTCTGCCATGCCTTGGCAGGTGTTTGCAGTTTAGCAAATGCACAAACAAAACCTGAGATAAACAAATGTGAGACAAGGCAGATTCATTTCAGAGCCCCCCAGAATTATAAATGAAATTACCAGAGAGAGCTCTCATTCATCATATGGAAATTTTAAGTAGCACTGCAAAAAGCCACAAGAGATTTATTACCACATACAATTCTGATTTCTACAAAGTTAGCATGATAAAAAATAAAGCATAGGGTAATTGGATTCAGAATAGACTGGCAGATTGCTGAGTCTACTGGGGAATATTAGCAAATGGGATGCTTCCCTGGATTTCTGCCGGGATCAGTTCAAGACCTGATACTACTCAACATTTGCATCAATAATGTAGATGGAAATAATATAACAAAGATTACTGGCAGGCTCTGTTGTTGGCATGAACTTGGAGTATGTAAACAAGGATAAGGAAGTTAGAAAAATGGAGACTATTCTCTCCCAATTGAAAAAGAAAAAAAAAAAGGAACAGATACTTTTCATTTGAGCTAGCAGAATTCAAGTAGAAGAGTATCTTCCCTTTAATAACTTCCAGGAGACTCTTGGAAAGACAGACTGACAGGAACATCTTTCTGGAAGTGACCAGGTTGAACATGACATTTTTTGAACACCTACCAACTGCAAACACATCCTCAGGCAAGGTGTATTGATGGATGATGCACAATTATGAAAGAAGATTCACAGTCAGGCAGCAAGAATGACCAACAGTATGAAAAATTCTCCTAGGGAGGAAGTCAAAAGCCAGCAGAATGGATTATTGGTGAAAAAGACATAAGAGGAGCTATGACAAAATAACCAATTATGCATCAATAACAACTCAACAATTTCCTATCTATCTGCCTCCTAACAACAAGAAGACATTCAATTAAAGATCTCAAATAAAAAATTAAGAGGAAATTCTCTGCACATGGAATATTATATGCAGAACTCACTGCACCAAAAACCCTTGACATCCAAAACATAACAGGAGTCAAAAGGAAATATCGTTAAGGGCTTCATTCTGCTGCTGCTGGCCCTGCTGCCAGAGCTCCGCTATGAACCGAGATGATGCACAGCTACTTGGGCATCCTCTTCTCCACCTAGAATAGCACAGGCATCTTCTTCCTCACTGGAGCTCCCGTCAGAAATCCCAAGTACTGCAGTAACTACACTGCTGCCTTCATTCTTTCTGTCACCAGAGCTGGAAACTAAACTTTCTCTCCCTGCTGCCCTGTTGTTTACAGTTTGGGAAGCCATCAGCAGGAGCATCCTGGAGCGGCCGTGGGACCTCAGGAAGGTTACTTATTCCTGAAGTTTGTCCTTGAAGAAAAACAGTATCTCGGACAAACTGGGAAAAAGACTTGCTATATTCAAAGATATTCATCACTGTTTTCATATTCCCGACAACGGTGTTATTGCAGGAAAGCACGGAGTTTCCATAGCAATTGTTAAAACAAGAAGTTATCACCTACCAAATAATTTAAAAACAAACAGATCACTTTAAGGAAAGAGGGCAAGAAATCAGTCTTGTTCACACTCAATAGGGGTTGTCCCAGCAGAGGGGATGTGTTTTTTCTCCAACACACCTTAGCCCAAAACCTTACAACTGT